ACTACACAGTTCAGGCTGGCCTTGAGCTCACTTTGTAGCCCAGGCTGGCCTCAAACTCGCCACGATCCTCCTGCCTCAGCCTCCTGAGTGCTGGGATTACAGGGGTGCACCACCACACCTGGCTGTCTTTTTTTTTTTAAGACCCTGCTTTCAAAACAAAACAAAAACAGTACATACTAGATTAGCAAAGATTTTTGAAAAGTCAGGCACAATGGCACACATCTTCAATCTCAGCTACTTAAAAGCCTGAAACAAAAGGATTTTAAGACCAAGTCCAGACTCTCTCCTTCCTCATTGCTTTTGCTGTCTTCTGCTGCCATGAACTGTTCTCCTCTGCCAAGCCATCTTGCCTTGGAGCCAGTTGATTATGACCTGAAACCTCTACAGGCTATGAGCTAAATAAACCTTTCCTCCTTTAATTTCGGATGTAGGGTATAAAAACAAAAGATCAAGCCCATTGCATCAGTCAGGGTTTTACTGGAGAAACAGATATAACACAGGCTATACAAATTACAAGAAATTACAAGATTGGCTTATGACGGTCAGCCAGAGAGCTGTATGGGGAAGTGTGCAGAGGGTGTCTGCACACTGAAGACCGAAGGAATCAGTCCAGGGTCTGAAGTTCACTGCAGAGTTCCATGCAAGTTTGTACCAGGAGGCTGATGAGTCTGTGACAGAAGGCTGAAGGATCCAAGGTAGAAGCCGAAGAGTCTACACTAGAAGCCAGGAGACAAGTCCAAGCTGAAGGTGAAGACTGGAGCTCCTCCAAAAGGACTGGAAGGGGGCTAGGGATTTAGCTCAGCAGCAAAGTGCCTGCCTGGCAAGCGCAAGGTCATGAGTTCGGTTCCAGTACCAGAGAAAAACCAAAAAAAAAAGGAATGGAAGTACCTCTGTCCTTCTTCATTTCCCTTTTATATTATCTAGGTGATGATTCACCCTAGGGTGGCTCCTCTACGCCCTAGGGTGGCTCCTCTACGCCCTAGGGTGGCTCCTCTACGCCCTAGGGTGGCTCCTCTACGCCCTAGGGTGGCTCCTCTACGCCCTAGGGTGTAGTATTGCTGGGCCAATTGCTGAACCAAGTTTAGCTATGCTTCTAAACTTCTCAAGTTAACATAATCAATCAACCACTACACCCATCCTGGGCAACTTAGTGAGTCCTTGTCTCAAAAATTAAAAATAATAATAATGCCTGGAGATGTTGCTCAATGCAAATATCCTCTGTTTAACTCTCCAGAAAACCCTCATGAGAAAACCCTCATGCATAGCTAGAGGATATAACTATACTGGTACAAACCCTTTGGAAAACAACTTGGTAATTTCTAATAAGGTCAAACAGCAATTCTATTCCAGTGTGCACTAGAAATTAGTACATATGTGCAGCAGGAGATATATAGGATATTGGTGATAAACCAGGCATGGTAGTGCACAAGAGTAGTTCCAGCACTTGGGAGGCTGAGGCTGGAGGATTTCCATGAGCTGGATGCCAGCCTGTGCTACATAGTGAGTTCAAGGCCAGCCAGAATTGAATAGCAAGACTGTCTCCAAAAACCAAAACAAAAAGTCCCTGGAAAAAAAAACCCAAGCCCCCCAGGAAAATGGATGAATAGAGTCAAAAGTGGGCTATTACAGAGCAGGATTGAAAGCAATTACAGCTACACATACAAACTATTATACAGTGTGTTCTCTTTTTTCTCAATGCTAAGACTGAACCCAGGACCTTCACACTGAGCTACATTCCCCATCCCTTTTTAATTTTTTTCTATTTTGAGACAGGGTCTCACTAAGTTGCTAAGTGCCCAGGCTGGGCTTGAACTTGTGATCCTCCTGCCTCAGCCTCCCAGAGTGCTGAGATTACAGGCCTTCACTAACACATCCACCTCAGTACCTTGTTTTCTATAAAACATTTCCAAAATGTCAATGTGCACATAAAGTATCTTGTTAAAATGCAGATTCTGATACTATAGGTTAGGAATAGGGCCTAAGATTCTGCTCTACAGTGTATCTAGGGATGTATGTATAATGATAAAATTCTCTACAAACAAAAGGAAACAATAAACAATATTTAGGAGAGGATATATTTTTCTGTCTGGGGAAAGAAAGTGGATGGAACAAGTAGTTGAAATGGTCCTGGTGATGTGTACTTAAACTGTTGGGTTCGTGAGTATGCATTATACATAATAACTTACGTGTTACACATGTATCATTTTCCAGATACAAATACTGTATTTAAAAAAACAATGAAAGGACCGGGCGTGGTGGCGAACGCCTGTAATCCCAGCACTCGGGAGGCTGAAGCAGGAGGATCGTTCCAAGTTCGAGATCAGCCTGGGCTACAAAGTGAGCTCAAGGCCAGCCTGAACTGCATAGGGAGACCCTGCCTCAAAAAGACAAACACACACACACACACACACACCAAAAAAAAAAAAAAAAAAAAAAAAAAAAAAAAAAAAAAAAAAAAAAAAAAAAAAAAACAAAACAAAAATGATCTGCAAAGAAGCTAGGTGGCGTCAAAGTCCTGGCTAAAAAAGGAATCCATCTGGCAGCGCCTCACTCAGATGTGAGTTTTACAGATCTGACTAGTCCAGGCAGCGTTAACCTAGTGCTCGCTGTTCAAATATCCAACCCCGTCGGGCTAATTCCTTGGAGCCCAGACTAGTGTTAGGGTTTGTACACACAGTCCAAGTTTCCCAGTTCGCTGGATTTCATGAGTGACGTGACACTTTTGTTAAAAACACCTATCTCCAGGGCTGGGGATGTAGTTCAGTGGGAGAGCACTTGCTTAGCATATTTGAGGCTCTGGATTCAATCCCAGTACCGCAAAAACCAAAAATTTTTCCAGAGGGTTCCCTAGTAGATCCGATTCTGTGAACGTAGGCAGCGGTTCTGGAATCATCAGGTTCCAGGTTCGGGGCCGCCCAGCCTCCCTGGCAGGAGAAATCCACTCCGCCCGGGTTGAGGACCTGACGGTGGCGGGAGAAGGGATCGCTCGGCCAGCCCCGGGAGCCCCGCCGGAGAAAGGTCTTCACCGGGAAGGAGACCCAATGGCCCATTAGCATGGTAACCCGGATGGGAGGTGCCCGGAAGTCACCCTTCTTCCCCCGGACCGGCCTCTTCAGCTTTTCAGGGTCGTCTGTCCTGAGAGTTCCCAAAAAGCACAGCTCTAAAGTAAAGCTACCACTGGACTGCCGGATGCTTTCTCGGTTGCTAGGAAACGCGCCCGGCAGCTCCGGGACCGCCCTGCTGGTGCCGCCTTTTCCTCCTCCCTCTACTAACAGGAAGTAGAAAACAAAGGCGAGACTAGGGCGCGAGGGCGTGTTCCCGCTTTAGCCAATGGGAAGAGTAGGGCGTAGCTAAGCGCCCTTCCTTTATTGCCCCAGAACCTGCAAGCACGCTCACTCTCTGCTCCGAGGCGAACACGCAAGGCTCCGAGGCGGAAGACGCGAGACTCCCTGGCGCTCCCTCAGCGGCTGCCATCATGGTGCGGAAGCTGAAATTCCACGAGCAGAAGCTGCTGAAGCAGGTGGACTTCCTGAACTGGGAGGTCACGGACCACAACCTCCACGAACTGCGTGTCCTGCGGCGTTACAGGCTGCAGCGGCGCGAGGACTACACGAAGTACAACCAGCTGAGCCGGAAGGTGCGTGAGCTAGCGCGGCGACTGCGCGACCTGCCCGAGCGCGACCCGTTCCGCGTGCGCGCCTCCGCCGCATTGCTGAACAAGCTTTACGCTCTGGGCTTGGTGCCCACGCGCGGCTCGCTGGAGCTCTGCGATTTCGTCACAGCCTCGTCCTTCTGCCGCCGCCGCCTGCCCACCGTGCTCGTCAAGCTGCGCATGGCGCAGCATCTCCAGGCTGCTGTGGCCTTTGTGGAACAGGGCCACGTGCGCGTGGGCCCGGACGTGGTGACGGACCCAGCCTTCCTTGTCACCCGCAGCATGGAGGACTTTGTCACCTGGGTCGACTCATCCAAGATCAAGCAACACGTGCTGGAGTACAACGAGGAGCGCGACGACTTTGATCTGGATGCCTAGAGGGTCTCGCTGTCGCTCCACCTCTCTTCAGGATGGCAAACGGGTCCGACGCTGGCGATCTGAGAGTGCTCTAAACAGTGGCACTCAATTGGGGACTTTCAAGAATTTGGCTCATCGAGGGATTTAGCTCACTGGCAAAGCTCCTGCCTGGCAAGCGCAAGGTCGTGAGTTCGATTTCTGGTACCGGAAGAAAAACAAACGAACAAGCAAACAAAAAAGAATTTGGCTCATCAGCTGCAGATCACAGAACCGAGGTGGGGAGGGCCGCTCCTGTTCTCCAGGAAATTTTCGTAGAACTGACTACTGGTAACTAAATGATAGTGCCTTTAGACCGTGGGAAGCGGTTTTGTGCTACCCTGGGGATTGTCAGCCTCAAGGAGCAGAAGACGTTGCAGTGTAAAAGCAAGAACGTTACCCTCCCGGTTCCCGTTATCGCCTTGTAGCAGGACTGATTTCTTCAATTTGTTTAACTCAAATACTTCTGATTGTGAGTAAGCTGTGATCGATGGATCGTTTGGGCCCAAGTTTCCATGAAAGTGAGTGAGACTTTGGTGTTAAGGGTTCCCCCATTTAAAGGAACGCTTTCCTGATACCAATAAATGGCTTATCTGCTTGTAAATGCAGCTTTTTGTTTGTCTGGTGTTATTACAGTGTCTTGTGTGTAGGTCTTCCCAGCTCAGGAACCCAAAGAGGGGTAGTGGGACCAGCAGTGACCCCTCTGTGAGGTCTGCCGCAGGGACCACATGTGGAGGCTGCAGGATGTTGCACAGGACGGAGCAAATTTGACCCTTTACTAACCCCTTTCTTGGAATGAGTGTTTTGGCAAAGTTCTCCCCAACAGGACTTCCTGTTGATATTCCAGTCCCATAAATACTGTATTAGAGGGCGGAGTGTTTGCTTGCCTGAGGAATAAGCACCTAACAGCTTGGCCATCTAGTGGTTAGAAGTGGCAGAGGTTCCTGGAAAGGTTTTTAGAAGTGGTAGAGGAGCCTGGGGTGTAGCTCAGTGGTGGAGCCCTGGATTCAATGCCCCCCATGCAAAAAAAAAGAATGGAAGAGAATGAGAAGGGAGGGTAGTGAGAATATCAACTTTTACCTCAGACTTAAGGGATTTTTAAAAATTTATTTTATTTTTATTTGAGACAGAGTCTCGCTCTGTATTACAAACAGGCCTTAACCCGGGGTGGTGGCGCACTCCTGTAATCGCAGCACTCGGGAGGCTGAGGCAGGAGGATTGTTGTGAGACCAACCTGGGCTACAAGTGAGCTCAAGGCCATCATGAACTGCATAGCGAGACCTTGTCTCAAAAAAAGATATAAGTAAAAAATAAAAAAGGACTGGGAATATAAATTAATGTTAAGGCCCAGAGTTCAATCTCCTTTACCACAAGTAAAAAGGGAGAATAGAATGCTGTGGCCAGTGAATTGGTTTTTGTTTTGTTTTTGTTTTTTGTCTTTTTGAGACAGAGTGTCGCTATGCAGTTCAGGCAACAACGATTCTCCTGCCTCAGCCTCCCAAGTGTTGGGAGTGTTGGGATTACAGGCGTGCACCACCACACCCAGTTGAATTGGGTTTTAGATGGGACTTTTCTGCTTCCTCAGGTGTGAGGCAGCATTTAGTGTAGAAGTGATAAAGAAGCACCATGAGGTAATAATGGCAATTGCTTTTGTATCTTAGACACAGTTGCAAGTGTGTTGCACATATCAAACTGTGTGGCCCCGTCCCCATGGTTCTAAGAAGTAGGGAAACCAATTACTCTCTACTTTTCAGACGAGGGAATTAAGGCAGAGTTAGGTGAAATTACTCAGTATTGTATTGCCAGTTAGTGGTGGACTGGGATTGTGTCCCCTTTAAGAGACTCAGTGTCTGCACAGCCAGCCCTTAGGGATGTGTCAGAGTTTAGATCTCACAATTTGAGTTTCCAAGTAGCAGGGAAAAGCGGCAGCACTAAGCAAAGTGATTGGCCTTGTCAGGTTACTGTATAAGGCGTTGAGTGGGTAGCAAGTATGGAACTGGGAAAGCTTTAAGAAGAAGCTGCCATTTACTCTCCCCACCAACTGTGTAAGGTAAGTGGTTGTATCCATATTTTTCAGTTTGGGAATCAAGTGAGACAAGAGCTCATCCAAAACTGGAGTTTAAGTCAGGCATGCTAGTGCATGCCTGTAATCCCAGCCTGTAATCCCAGCACTCCAGAGGCTGAGGCAGGAGGATTATTGCGAGTTCAAGACCAGCCTGATCTGCGTAGTGAGACCCTGTCTCAATAAAAGACAAAAAAACCCAACCAAACAAAAAAACACCAATGCTAGAGTTTAAATCCGGGTTCCTGTTACCTCAAAGGCCATGTTCTCAATATCATCTGTCTGCTCAGTAGTGGAGGGAGAGAGAGGCGCTGACCCTGCCAGCTGTGGTGGTTGGGCACTGTCTGCCCACTTGAAGGAGCACTCTCAGAGCAGCCAGGCATGTGGATCTCGGAAGAGCAAGGTGGCTCTGGGAAGCAGGGCCCCTCCTTCTGGACCTCAGTGCTCACCACACCCAGAAAGGCAAAGCAACTAGATAGGCGCCTTGGGGCAGTAGAAGCTGGTATCTGTCATCAAGCAGGTACAGTCTCTTCACCTTGTCTCGAAAGAAACTAGGTATAGTATCTTCCTAAAAGAGTTAAAAGTGAGCACACCCCTGTAATCCCAGCACTTTGGAGACTGAGGCAGGAAGATTGTCCTGAGTTCTGGGCAAGCCTAGGCTACATAGTGAGTTGAAGGCTAGCCTGAACTATATAGCAAGACCTTGTCACAAATAAAAAACAAAACAAAAATTAAAAGCATACCACAGTGACAGATGCATATCCATGTTTACGGCAGCACAATTCATAATAGCTAAATCTTGAAAATAGCCCATATGCCCTCAACAGATGAACTGCTAAAGAAAATTGGTATTTATATACAGTGGAGTACTACTCTGCCATAAAGAAGGATAAACTTGAGAGATTTGTAGGTAAACGGATGCACCGTATATTTTTTTTTTAGAAAATTTTAAGTGAAATAAGACACAAGTTTTTGTTTTTTTTTTAAAGACAAGTTTTAATATCTCAGTTTCTCTTGCGCAAGAAACCCCAAGGTAGAGAAAGAACAAAACGGAGCATAGATGTTGGAAAATAAGAAAAACATGTTCAAATGGAAAAGGGAACAAGGGAGACTGGAGAGGGAAGGGAAGGAATGGAAAAAAAGGATAAAATGGAAACAGCTTTTGTAGGCAACACACTGGGGACCCCTCCAGTCTCAGGAGCTACTCCTGGTCCCCATTCCTATTCCCCAATAAATTGTCCTACTCTTAACCTGCATTGTTCCTTAGAATTCATTATTTTGGGAAACATGAAGTCAGTGTTCCTGACATCTAGCAGATTAAGAGTTACAAATAGCTGGGAGTGGTGGCTCACGCCTATAATCCCAGCACTCGGGAGGCTGAGGCAGGAGGATCGTTGCGTGTTTGAGGCCAGCCTGAGCTGTATAGTGAGACCCTGTCTCAAAAAGACAAAAGAAAAAAAAAAAAAGAGTTGCATATTTTTCCCCTCTATCTCTCTGACCTTGGTGTAGGACAGCAGCCCTGGTTCCTCTTGTGCGCAGAGAAAATGCTGATGTCATGATCTCAGGCTTTGTCTCAGGTGCTTTAGAGAAGTAGCCACATGCAGCTAAGCTTTGTGCCTGACCTGATGTCTTGTCTCTGTGGAGCTTGGTTAGTATTTGCACTGAAGCCGTGACCTGCCAGGAACCTAGAACATCTGAGCCTATAGGGAGGTCTCCTCGCTCTCCCGCTGTGCCTACCTGGCGCCCATACACTGATTTATGACTTTCTTTGTTTTTGGTTTATAAAATGTTGTGTAACCTCTCCAACTCAAAACATGGGGTCACTTGAGTCCTTGTTCCCAGGCCATGGTCCCTTGTATTTGGCCCAGAATAAATGATTTTTTATTTTCTTTGAAAAGAAAAACTCGGGCCAAGGATATAGCTCAGTGGCGTAAGTGCCTGCCTGGCAAGCACAAGTCCTGAGTTCAATTCCCGGTACCAAAAAAAAGAAAAAAGAAAAAAAAAAAAAAACTTGTCAATGATGAGGGGAAGAAAGGTTGAAGGGAGGGAAATAAGGAAAAAAAGATGAATCAAGGAATATTATACACAGGTACAAATTCCCTGTGATGAATGTGATCAATATGTACTACAAATATGTACCAAAAAAAGAGAAAGAGCCGGGGGTGCTGGGGATTTAGCTCAGCGGCAAAAGCGCCTGCCTGGCAAGTGCAAGGTCGTGAGTTCGGTTCCGGTACCAGAGAAAAACCAAAAAAAAAAAAAAGAGAGAAAGAGCCGGGCGTGGTGGTGCACGCCTGTAATCCCAGCACTTGGGAGGCTGAGGCAGGAGGATCGTTGCGAGTTTGAGACCAGCCTGAGCTACAAAGAGCTCAAGGCCAGCCTGAAATGCATAGCGAGACCCTGCCTCCAAAAGACAAAAAAAAAAAAGAGAAAGAGACAAAATAGGTATGGTGGGGCACTCCTGTAGTGCCAGCACTTGGGAGGCTGATGCTGGAGGATCACTGCGAGTTTGAGGGCATCCTGAACTACATAGGAAGGCCGCCTCAAAAGACAAAGCACTCAGAAAGCTGAGGCAGGAGCATTGTTTCGAGTTTGAGGCCAGCCTAGGCTACAAAGTGAGCTCAAGGCCAGCCTGAACTGCATAGCAAGACCCTGTCTCAAAAAGACCAAAAAAAAAAAACAACAAAAAAAAAAACAGACAAAGAATCTGGGTCTAGGGTTTGAGAGTAAAATATAAGATTCTTTTCCAAAGGATTTTTTCTTCTGGGGAAAGATGTGAAAATGACTTCTTATGCACTTTTTTTTTTCTCAGTACTGGTGATTAAACCTGGGTCCCTTACACCCAGCTATATTCCCTAGCCCTGTTGTTTATTTTTTACATTGTGAAAGCATCTTTCTAAAGTGCTAAATTGCCCACAAACTTGCCATCCTTCTGTTTTAGCCTTCCAAAGTGCTGGGTTTGCAAGCATGTACCACCATGCCCAGCAGATTGACCATAAACTCTATAACTACAAATTTGGGTTTAGAAAATCAAGTTTAGGACCAGGTGTAGTGGTGCATGCCTGTAATCCCAGCACTCAGGAGGCTGAGGCGGGGGAGTCGGGGGAAATCACTATGAATTGGAGGCCAGCCTGGACTGCATAGTGAGACCCTGTCTCAAAGCAAACAAAGAGTTGGGTTTAGGAATGTAACTCAGTGGTAGACCAATTGTTTGATATATGCAAGGGCTTGGGTTCAACCTCCAGCACTGCAGGTAGAAAAAAAAAAGCAAAAAAGTGAAAATGGTGGAAGGTAAAGAAAAAAAATTGTGGTACTGACATTAAAAATTGTATAGGATTAGTCGGACATGATGCTACATGCCTGTAATCCCAGCTATTTGAGAAGTTTAGATAGGAGGATCACAAGTTTGAGGCCAGCCTGGGCAACTCAGACCCTGTCTCAAAATTTTAAAAATGGGCTGAAGATGCAGCTCAGCAGTAGAGTGCTTGCTTAGCATGCACAAGGGCCTGGCTCAATCCCAAACATGGCAGAAAAAAAATTTTTAAGGATTAAATTAGTGCCTACAAAGTCCTTAGATAAACTCCTGTCAAATTGTAGGAATTTGAAGCTTATCTTCTTCATCAGGCCAAAAAAGAAATGGAGAGAATGTCTTCGTTGTAGATTGTATACCTGTTGGTCACCCTTCTTTGAAGAACTGCCTTCCCTGCCTTGAGCCTCAACACCTAAGAGGTCACATGCCACACCTATCGTTGATCTGCAACCTGTGAAGAACAAAAGGGGAAATCTGGCTGGATGTGGTGGTGCACACCTATAATCCTAGCACTCTGGGAATTTGAGATCACAAATTTGAGCCCAGCCTGGGAGATTTAGTAATTTTGCAAGATTCTCTCAAAAATAAAAAAGGGCTGGGGATGTGTTATGGTTGATACATTGTGTCAACTTGGGGAGTCTAGAGGTTTGGCTAAGAAACTCAGCAGGAAGCCAGGGTGCTTACTTTGTATACATCCTGAGCCTGTGCAAGAGGAGAGCATGGAGATTATGTGAGAGCTACATGCCCCTTAGGTGGGGTAGCCTGCTGACAATGTAAGGGAGGGAAAGAGGCTGCTGGCAGGGTTTCCTCCCTTTTGCTCTGGCTGCTTTGCAGTTCGGCTGCCATTCCCCGCTTTGCTCTTGGTGCTTTGCTATCTTCTGCCTTGGAGCCGGCCAGATATGGACTGAAACCTCCACAAACTATAAGCTAAATAAACCTTTTTCCTTCCTTAATTTTGGGCGTTGGGTATTTTTGTCTTAGCAACGAGAGAAAAGTAACCAAAACAGGATGCAACTCAATGCAAAGGCCTTGGGTTCAGTCCTGGATATTACTGCACACACGTATACAGGTCCAAGTCCTTTGCCTCAGGGCAGTGCTATGGCATGATGCATAGCAGGCCAGCCTGAGCCTGGATCTTACCTGAAACCACACCCTTGCTCCCATCTTTCCTCTTCCCTATCCTGCTTTCCTTATCCCTCAAAAGAGGTTTTGCCTGCCCAGCGCTCCCTGGATAAATCACATGTACTAAAATCCCTCAGGCTCCATTTCTAGGGAACCATCCTAAAACAGGACAGGACAAGGGAGTAGATGTGAGAACCAAGGGAGATACCAAGCATGGCTCCCTACCTCTCCACTTGTGCAAGAATATAGCACCTGTTCACCAAAATCTGGATGCCAGCATAAAATCACAAAGCCCTCAAGTAAGGTTAGATCACCAAACGGATGTGGGCTGGACCCTGCCTAGTGAGCTCCAAGTGACTGATTGATGGGTCAGGGGAATCAAAACTGGAAGAGCACCTGGGACATTGCAGGGAAAGCAGCTCCTGGCCTGCACTGCACCTGAGGCCTGCTGCCCCTCACCTCCATGTACAGTGTTTTCCTGTTGTTATGTTTGATAAATTGTGTCAACTTGGGGTGTCTAGAGGTTTGGCTAAGTGACTCAGCAAGAAGCCAGGGTGCTTACTTTGTATACATCCTGAGCCTGTGCAAGAGGAGAACATGGAGATTATGTGAGAGCTACATGCCCCTTAGGTGGGGGTAACCTGTTTACAATGTAAGGCAGGGAAAAGAAGCTGCTTGGTGCCATTCTGCCTTTTTGCTCTGGCTACAATGCTGTTTGGCTGCCATTCCCCCCTTGCTCTTGCTGCTTTGTTATCTTCTGCCTCAGAGCGAGCCAAGTATGGACTAAAACCTCCACAAACTGTAAGCTAAATAAACCTTTCCTTCCTTAATTTTGGACGTTGGATATTTTGTCTCAGCGACGAGAAACAAGTAACCAAGACACCTGTGAGCAGTGTTGTGGTGGAAATCTGGCCAACTACACTGGTTATCAGTTGAGTGGGGGCTGAGCAAGCCAGGAGAGTAGTTTTTTTTGTTTTGTTTTGTTTTTGGTCTCTTTGAAACAGTCTCAATATGCATCTGAGGCTGGACTTGAACTCACTTTGTAGCCCAGGTTGGTCTCGAACTCGCAACTATCCTCCTGCCTCAGCCTCCCAAGTGCTGGGATTACAGGCCTGTGCCACCACGCCCCCCTTGAGGAGAGTAGTTTTGGAAGGGAGGAGGTGAGCTCAGGCCTTTGCTAGGTATGATTGGGGAGTACGCTGTTTATTTAAATTGTATTACAAGCTGGGAGTGGTGGCACATGCCTGTAATCCCAGCACTCGGGAGGCTGAGGCAGGAGGATCACTGCAAGTTCGAGACTAGCCTGGGCTACAAAGTGATCTCAAGCACAGCGCCTGCCTGGCAAGCGCAAGGTCGTGAGTTCAATTCCCAGTGCCGGAAAAAACAAAACAAAACAAAACAAAACAGTGTGATCTCAAGGCCAGCCTGAACTGCATAGCAAGACACTGTCTCCACCACGACAAAAAATTAAAAATAAAACAAATTTTTAAAAAATGTTATTACAGTAAGAAACACATTGCCATTAATCTCTACCAAAATACTCTTGTTTTGAACACATTTATCCCATTGTTTTTGCCACTTTCAGAAGCAGTTCCTGCCTTTAGTTTTGCTGTCCTGGCTGCCTCGATGTCCTGAAGTGATTCAAAACATTTATCTTTCAGGGTTATTTTGACTTGGGGGAAGAGGCAGAAGTCATACGGTGCCAGATCTGGTGAATAAGGTGGATGAGGACACACTGTCATGTTTTTACAAAGCCTATCTTTCCATTAGATGGTACTTGGTGACAGCAGTCACCATATTTTTGATCACACCTCATAAAAGAGAACTTCAAGAACTGCTTCAGAAAATGGCAAAAGCCACACATGGTGGAACACTCTTGTAATCCCAGCACTTGGGAGGCTCAGACAAGAGGATTGCTGGTAGTTCAAGGCCAGCCTGGGCTACATAGTGAGTCTCTGCCTCAAAACAAAGAAAAAAAGTGGAAAGAGTCTATAGCCATCCCACCCTTGACGCACTTGATCTCATCAGAAAGTGGCAAAGATGGATATGTGTGTTCTAAGCAAGGAGAAGAATTTTGTTTTTGTTTTTGTTTTTTGTCTTTTTGAGACAGGGTCTCGCTATGCAGTTCAGGCTGGCCTTGAGCTCACTTTGTAGCCCAGGCTGGTCTTGAACTCTCATCGATCCTTCTGCCTCAGCCTCCGGAGTTCCGGGATTACAGGCGTGCGCCACCACGCCCCTGGCACAAGGGGAAGAATTTTGAAGGCGATTAAGGACAATGCGTCTTTAAATGTAATAAATTTTTATTTTTGTTTATGTATTATTTTGGTTTTTTCCCAGAGTCTTGCTCTGCAGTTCAGACTGGCCTTGAATTCACTATGTAGCCCAGGCTGGCCTTGAATTCACCGTGATCCTCCTGCCTCAGCACCCTGAGTGCTGGGATTACAGGCCTGCACCGCCACAAATGGCCTCCAGCTGCTGTTTTTGCTTCTTCGGGGTGATGTGGGATGTTATTCAGTTAGGTATGAGTGAACGACCGGGACCTTTCTGCTGTATCTTCGTACATGGATTTAGGGACTTTTTTTCTCTATTTCAATCTGTTTTCCTCCAGTGTTCTAGGTCTTGTTCTTTTCTGTGCAGTTCTAACTATCGACATAGCTACCCCTGTGTTTTACATCTCAGCCCAGTCCTGAAGAGACTCTACCAGAGTTTTATGGTGACTCCTAAATCTCTGACGCTGAGCCCCAGCCCTGTACCAATTCAATCGCTTTTTAACCTGTGGTTCCCCCAGAGCCACCCTTGGGCTGGGTGCTGACCACTTGAATGGGAAGCAAACCAGGCACCAACACTGCCAAGCCGCAGTAGGGAAGAGAAACTTCCAGCACAGCAAAAGGGTTGTGATTGCTTGTAAGGGAGAATAGAAAGGAAACGTCTGATAGTCTGAAACTTGGGGTGTAGTGACTTGGGGTGAAGTGGGAGTCACGCAGGCCACTGGCACTGCCCATATGAAGGCAAGTGCACAGGAGGGCAGTGAACGACCAGACATGAGATCGCGGCTCCTCCTGTTGGTGAGAGGAGCTCTAAGAGTGAAACTTAGGCCTGGCCAGGACATTCCGCTGGTGGGCCTGCTGCGACGCCAAAGCACGTCCTCAGGGCATCTCGCAAGAAAAGTCCCACCCTTGAAGGGCGGAAGTAATGACCTGCGGCGACCCACCTCCCGGCATGCACTGCGGCCAAAGGAGCCGGAAACTGCGGAAAGGGCGGGACCAACCTTCCTCGGGTAGCTGATTGGGCGATCTCCTAAACCGGGCAATTGATTGGTCGATTCTCGGAGGCGGTGGCGGCGGGCACAACTGTTGTCTCTGTCGGGTGAGTCCTGAGTTCGAGTATGGGCTCTACCGACCCCACAGTTTCCTCGCGGCCTCGGATTGTGACCCCCTTTGCCTCACTCGGCATCCCGGCCTCGTAGGGTGTCACCTCGAGGGGCAGATCCAGGCTGAGGCCTCCTCTTTGCCGCCTTGTGTTCTGGGCTGTCTTGCCAGAGCCTCTGCGGGACACGTGGAGTCAGGGAGCGAGGTCGAGAAGACCCAGCCGCTAGGAAAGGGCAGGGACTGGGCGAGAGGACTGTGGAGTCGTGCCTGGTCCCTAGGGAGGGGCCGGGCAGGTTGGGTACCAGGGTTGAAGGGGGGTGTGGGTAAGGGTGACTGTACCTGGCTGGCTAAGGTCCGGACCCTGGGGGATAGCAGCGTCCTAGGGGTAACAGAGTGGGAGGCAGCGGAACCTTCCTTAAGGAAGGGCTGGAGAGCTGCCCCCAGGCCAGGACAGCAGTGGTTCTTGGCAGAGCTGAAGCCAACACCAAGATAAAACATGACAAAGCCTAATAAAGCTGTTCGAATTTGGTCTTTACTTAGATGAACTGGGGACAATTTGCAAAACTTTGATTAGCCAGGTATGGTTGGTGCACGCCTGTTATCCTAGCATTCTGGGAGCTGAGGCAGGAGCATCACAAATTCTGGCCCAGTGGGGGCAATTTAGCAATTTAGAAAGACCCTGACTCAAAATTTAAAAAATAAAAAGGCAAGGCCTGGCGGCCTGTGCCTGTAATCCCAGTACTTGGGAGGCTGAGGCAGGAGGATCACTGCAAGTTGAGTTGAAGGCCATCCTGGGGTACATAGTGAGTTAAAGGCCCGACTGGACTGGACTGCCTAGTGAGACCCTGTCTCAAATAAACAAACAAGCAAATAAAGGGTTAGGGACAGAGCTCAATGTGAAGGCCTTCAGTTCAACCTTGTTACTGAGGAAGTTTTGAAATGTGTACAAAAAGTACAGGAAAGTAGAAAAAATAGGATACCATTATGGGTACTTTGGATGGTATCCCATTACAGATTCCCCTGGGGGCCTCAACATTATCCCCCAAGTGGCCACTTCTGGTTGCATTACAGATATTTTAAGACACACCTCAAGTTCACACTAATGATTTGTTGATCTTAGCAACTAAAGTTACCTTCATGTTTAAAGGGTGTGAAAATTCACTCTTGCAAAATGAAGAGTGTTCTGGAGATCAGTTACACAGCAGTGTGTAGCACTACTAAACTGTACGCTTAAAAATGAGTAAGGTGGGGCTGGGGATTTAGCTCAGCGGCAAAAGCGCCTGCCTGACAAGCGCAAGGTCGTGAGTTCGGTTCCCGGTACTGGAGAAAACCCCCCCCCCAAAAAAAAAATGAGTAAGGTGAGCGGGCATGGTGGCGCACACCTGTAATCCCAGCACTCAGCACTCGGGAGGCTGAGGCAGGAGGATTGTTGCAAGTTCAAGACCAGCCTGGACTACAAAGTGAGCTCAAGGCCAGGCTGAACTGCATAGCGAGATCCTGTCTCAAAAAAAAAAAAAAAAGAAAAAAGAAAAAACAAGCCGGGTGTGGTGGCCCATGCCAGTAATCCCAGCACTCAGGAGGCTGAGGCAGGATTGTTTCGAGTTCAAGGCCAGCCTGGGCTACAAAGTAAGTTTAAGGTCAGCCTGAACTGCATAGTGAGACCCTGTCTCAAAAAGAAAAAGAAAAAAAAAAAAAATGAGTAAGGTGGGCCAGGCTTTCCCAACTACCATACTGAGGGGCTGACTCAGATGATTGCAAGTTTAAGCCCTGTCTGGGTAATTTTAGCAAAATGCTGTCTCAAAATAAAACAAAAAGGGCTGAACCCATACCTGATGACAAACACCTGTAAGCCCAACACTCAGGAGGCCAGTGCAGGAGGATCATGAATTTGAGGCCATCTGGGACTATGTGAGACCCTGTCTCCACGGTAGAGTGCCCTTGGGTTCTAACACCAGAACTGAAAAAAAACCAAAACCATATGTATTTCATATGTATTTAACCCTTTTTTTCTTATGTGGTGCTGAGGATCCAACTCAACTACATTCCCAGCCCCTTTAACCACAATTTTTTTTTTTTTTTTTTGAGACAGGGTCTTGCTATGCAGTTTAGGCTGGCCTTGAGCTCACTTTTGTAGCACAGGCTGGCCTTGAACTCCCAATGATCCTCCTGCCTCAGCCTCCCAAGTGCTGGGATTATAGGCGTTCACCACCACGCCCAGCTTAACCACAGTTTTTTTTGTTGTTGTTGTTATCTTTTTGAGACAGGGTCTCACTATGCAGTTCAGGCTGGCCTTGAGCTCACTTTGTAGCCCAGGCTGGCCTCGAACTTGCAACAATCCTCCTGCCTCAGCCTCCTGAGTGCTGAGATTACAGGCACCACCATGCCTGGCCACAATTTTTTTTTCTTTTTTTTCTTTTTTTTTTAATGAAAGAAAAACACTTTACTTGTAAAGAGGAAACAGAGGGAGAAAGGGGAAGATAGCTACTCTGATAAAGTATCAGAGTAGGGGACTATGGAAAAATGGAGGACCCATTGGCCCTTTGTTCTTAGCTGTTTTTCATACCTGTTTATTTTTTTATTTTCTGAGTTGGTTTTTTGTTGTTGTTGTTGTTTTGTTTTTTAACCACAATCTTTAAAAATTTCTTTTCTTTTCTTTTTTTTTTTTTGGTTTTTCTCCTGTACCCGGAACCGAACTCACGACCTTGCGCTTGCCAGGCAGGCGCTTTTGCTGCTGAGCTAAATCCCCAGCCCCAAAAATTTCTTTTCAAATTAGAAAAAAATCTAATTTTTTTTTTTTTTTTTTGGTACCGGGAATCAAACTCAGGACTTTGTACTTGCCAGGCAGGCACTTGTGCTGCTGAGCTATATACCCAGCTGGAAAAAAATCTAATTTTCAAATAAAAACATCTAACTTTCAGTTTGTTTGTTTTTTTTTGTTTGTTTTTGTCTTTTTGAGACAAGGTCTCGCTATGCAGTTCAGGCTGACCTTAAGCTCACTTTGTAGTCCAGGCTGGCCTCGAACTCCCAATGATTCTCCTGGCTCAGCTTCCCGAGTGCTGGGATTACAGGCGTGCGCCACCACTCCCAGCTAACTTTCAGTTTGTAATGAAAAATTACTCATTGGCTGAGTGGAGGTGTTTGGAATTGTATTCGAACTATGGAGAATCTGGGTTGAGCCTTTTAATTCTGGTGCCAGAGCCCTGGGACCTGACCCTGCCTCTGATTTAGGCCAGAAGGGAGGGTTGGTCCAGCCCAGCTGTAGGATCTCTGAGTGTTTGTTTCTTATAGTCCAAAGCATATCTTTGGCCCAGAGAGAGCGTCTGTGCCACCTCATGCCTTCACTCGCAGCATGGTGAACTGTGACTTCACTCCTCTCTCCATTCCCATTTAGGGCCCCTGGGTGGTCTGTCTCCCAAAGATATCTACTTCCTGTCTGCCTTATGTACCACACGTAAGTCTTCGTGTATCTGAAGCCCTGGCTTTTCCCTGTTACACAATCTTGCACACCCTAGCTTTTCTCCAAGTGAGCCTTACAAGGCAGCCCTGGAACCTGACCCCCTTAATTTGAACTATATGATGACACAGTAACTGTGAGTTTGGGGATTTGGGCACTTTGTGTGTGTGTGTGTGTGTGTGTGTGTTGGTACATGTACATGATACATCTTAATTCTTTTTATGTCCCCTTCCCACCCTTCCCCCTCCTCCCATCTCTTGGTCCTCTTAGCATTTGCAAAAGATCTATATCCCTGTTTCCTAGTCTCTTATTTTGTTCTTTATTTATTCTTAGGATTTCTAACATGACAGAAACCATGCACTCCTTACACTTTTGCATCTGATTTATTTCACTTAACATTATGGTCTCAAGATGCATCCATTTTCCTATAAATGACTCAAATTGATCCTTCTCTATAGCAGAGTAATTCTCCATAGTTCATAAAATCACATTTTTTTTATCCATTCCTCTGTTGATGGACATGTAAGCTACTTCAAAAGCTTTAGCTATTATGATTTGCACTGGTATAAACATGGATTTGCATATATCACTGTAATATTCTTTCACTCACAGTTGCACGGTGAAGGAAGATGCGTAGAAGAAGAATAGCTGGGTCAAATAATATTTCTATTTTTAATTTTTTTCAGGAATGTCCATACCAATTGCCTTCTGTCTTGTTTTGGTACCAGAAATCAAACTCAGGACCTTGCGCTGTGCCACTGAGCTATATCCCCAGCCCTATACTGATCTCTGTAGTGGTTGTGCTAGTTTCCATTCCCACCAATAATATAGAAGGATTCCTTTTCCTCCACAGCCTTATCAGTATTTGTTATTATTTGACTTCTTGATGATGGACGTTCATTCTGAAGTATACTGTAATCTCAGTGTTGTTTTAATATGTATTTCTGTAATGGGCAGAGATGTTCAACGTTTTTTCATGTTTTTATTGGTCATTTGTACTTCTGAGAAGTGTCTATTCATTTCGATCCCCCATTTTCTTCTCC